GTAAATAAAAACAACCTTGAGATACCACCTTACCCCAGTCAGAATGGCCCACATCCTAAGTCAGCCAACGACAAATGCTGGAGGGGATGCAGAGAAAGAGGAACTGTACTGCATTGCTGGTGGGAATGTATACTAATACAACCACTTTGGAAAACTGTCTGGAGATACCTCATAAAGCTAAATATAGACCTCCCCTATGACCCAGCCATACCACTCCTAAGCATCTACCCTGAGCCACAGGAACCAGTATACAAAGACACATGTACCTCCATATTTATTGCAGCACTGTTCACAATAGCCAAGGTTTGGAAACAACCCAGATGCCCCACTACTGATAAGTGGATCCAGAATTTGTGGTACCTATATACAATGGAATATTATGCAGCCATTAGAAAGGACAAAATATTGGCATTTGCAGGGAAATGGATGGAACTAGAGCATATTATTTTGAGCGAAGTAAGCCAAGAACGAAGATACAAACGGAACATGGTCCCCCTCATATGTGGATGCTAAAGCCAAAATACAAAAAGATGGCAAAGTAACAAGACTAAAGAAACAAAGGACAGCCACCCATTTTGTCATATCATTGCTAAATGACTCCATGATATATGCATGCAACAGAGGGAAGCCAGGAGGAGGAACAGAATAAATGGGAACAGCCTACACTAAGCAAAAGGAAAGAAATGTAAACACCACCTGATGTGGAAAAAATAACTTGTAATGTCAACGCTCATAGAATTCACAAACTGAATAGACCATGATGGCAATTTGCCTTGTGAAAGTTAAAATGTGTTTGTGACTCAAAGCATCACTATTCCACAATACTGTGAAATATGTGAAATTTATGAAATCACCTAATCTCAATTAAAGAAAAGAAGTGAGAGAAGGGATGGGTTAAGAGAAATGGTTGACAATATTGTCAGACACTTTGTACTCATATACTGTTTTGTAGAATGGGAACTTCCTTGTACAACTACTTAAAGATAATTTGTAAAAACTTAGAAAAAATTGTGTCCTGTGAAGGTTAAACCATCTAGGCAAGACAAATATAGATCTGTTTGTCCATTAAAAAAGCTTGAGACCTTGGCTAATGGAATACTTACCATATTCTCTGTCTGTACCTACAGTCACTCAACTGATACTAAACTCATGTAACCCCTGTCTCCTTACTCAGACCCTAAAAAAACCTTGACTCCAATCCTGCCCCCTGGTACAGTCTCCAAGCCCAAGGGAAGGCTGTATCCCTTGCTGTTATATCTCAACAAACAGTCCTCATCTATAGAAAAAAAGAAAGAAGCCTCAGAGCCACACATATGGAAAAAAGCCAAATGTTCGAGCAATGAGAAAAATCTAGAATTTCTACAGCAAAACATTTACAATGTCCAGAACTACTGTTTCAACACAAATGAGGCAAATGGAAATCATAAAATTAATCATTTATTTTCTTTTATAGGAAAAGATAACTAAAACCATCCCAAAGATCAATCAGAGTTTGTAATATTTAAAAGATTTTAAAGCAGCTATTAAATAACTGTGATGGATGAAGTAAGATAGATAGTTAGGAGAGAGAAATAGAACTATGTATACATTTATACAGACACATAATCTATAATGAAAATGCAAGATTCTGGGGCTGGGGAGGTGGCTCAGTGGTAGAGTGCTTGCCTTGCATGGATGAGGCCCTGGGTTCAATTCCTCAGCACTACATAAGCAAAAAGAAAAAAGCAGGAAGTGGCCCTGTGGCTCAAGTGGTAGAGTGCTAGCCTTGAGCTGAAGAGCTGAGGGACAGTGCCCAGGTCCAGAGTTCAGGCCCCACGACTGGACCCAAAAAAAAAAAAAAAGAAAGAAAAGAAAATGCAAGATTCTTTGAATGTTAACTAATAAGCTCAGAACATTAAACAAAAGAAGAGGAAAAATGATGCTAACTTCACCCAGATGATTGATAAATAGATGAATAGATAGATTGTATACAATAGATATTATAGATACAGATAGATAACGAGATTGAAATAAACATAACATACATATAGAGAAATACATACACACAAATTTTCTAAGAAAACCAAACCTAAAGGAATTTGGTATGTTTTCTAAGAATGTCTACAGAATATAAAACTTTTGCTATATTATCCTACTAAAATATTGAACATTTATTCATTATGATTGGGAAAAGCTAGAGGTGTCTACTGTTTTCACTTTTAATCAGCATTGTCTTAAAATCCAACCCATTAAAATAAGGTGAGGAAAAAAATTGGAAAATAAGATATGTTGCTATATCTACCTGAAAATTACATTTGTTTGATAGAAACTTTTCAGAATCACAAATGCATCTAAGGAAACTAATAAGTAAATATAATGGATCATAGGATACAAGGTTTTTAAATAAAATATAATTATAGTATGACATAGTAGCACTAGACAATAAAATAAAATTTTGAATTCCAATTTATTATTGCCCAAAATAAAGCCTTACGAACGATATTAAAGTAGCTAATCTGAAAAGCACAGAATGTAGCTGTGAGCTCCATTTGTCAAGTAATGAACTCTAGCTGATCACATTTGTAGAACTTAGAAACATTTGTGCCTCATAACTCATGACAAATTCCAATGATCAAATTACTTTTTGGCAATACCGAGATTTGAACTAAAACCTCACTGTCTTGGCTTGCTTGCTTCCTTGGCTAACTCTCTACCACTTAAAATATACCTCTAGACTGGCTTTTGCTGGTTAATTGGAGATAGAGTATTTCAGACTTTCTGGCCCAGATTGATTTCAAACTATGATCCTCCAAGTCTCAGCCTCATGAGTAGCTAGGATGACAAACATTAGCTACTATCACAGGGCTAAATTATTTTCTGTACTCTCATTATACAGTTCCTAGTTCAAGAGGAGGCAAATAGATTCACATCAGATGGTTTCCTATTCTGATATATTGATACTAAAGACAGATTCTTAGAATGAAGTACCTCAATGTGAGAGGGGACAGGTATTTGCTCCTACAAGAACACTTACGTCTTTCCATTTCCTAACAAATGGGGCAATGTCATTCTTTCTGATGGAGACATAGAATTCGATTGTGTAAATATATACTACATTTTCTTGATCCAAAGACTTGGAAAAAATTATATTAAGTGAAGTAAGCCAGGCCCAAAGAAACATAGGTCCCATGGTTTCCCTTATTTGCAATAACTAGTATATGTCTGAGTCAAACAGAAAAGGTCAGATAAGTTGATGTTGGGGGAATGAACTCCAAGATAAGTATTCAAATGTTTTTTTTTTGTTTTTTTTCCTTTCATGCAATTGTTTCTAACATAGTTATAAGATTATTTCTTTGTTGCTTTGTATGTCCCTCCCCCACAGTATAACCCCTGCTTTCACTGTATTTGACGTTGGTATAATTTGTGGAGGGGAAGGGAAAAAAATTGTTTAAATAGGGATACAGGTGGACCCATTGCAACAATGAGATGTACAAGTCATTATGTCGAAAAGGAACTTTACAACTTTGGTGGGGGGTGGGGGGAAGACCGGGTGGGGGGAGAGGAGGAGGATGGGAAGGGATAGGAAGGGGAAACAAAGAGGAGGCAACAATGCTTGATAAGAAATGTACTCCTTAGCTTGCCCATGTAATTGTAACTCCTCTGTATGGTATTTTCACAATAAAAAAAAAAAGAAAAAAAAACAAGTGTAGAAAACTGAAACTAAAAAAAAAAAAAAATAAGAACACTTGTAGGGAAGGGAAATAACAAAATGCTGAAACAAGAATACAGGTTGACCCATTCTAACAATGAGATGTACAAGGCACTATGTTGAAAATGAACTTTACAACTTCAGGAGGGGGAAGGGAGGATATGGAGAGGTGGGGAGGGAAGGGATGGTAGGGGAAAAACAAAGGAGGGGCTAACAATGCTCGATAGGAAACATACTCATTACCTTACTCATGTAACTGTAACCCCTCTGAACAGTATCTTTTTTTTGGCAGGGGGGGGTCTGGTTGTGGGGCCTGAACTCTGGGCCTGGGCGCTGTCCCTCAGCTCTTCAGCTCAAGGCTAGCGCTCCACCACTTGAGCCACAGCGGCACTTCCGGCTTTTTTCTTTTTGCTTATGTGGTGCTGAGGAATCGAACCCAGGGCCCCATGGATGCAAGGCAAGCGTTCTACCACTGAGCCACCTTCCCAGCCTCTGTACAGTATCTTTACAATAAAAACATTTTTAAAGAACACTTACATAGAAGCTTGGAGTTATATTCTCCAGCAGAATAACACTGAGGTAGTCCAAAAAGAGTGGCATTCTCAGAGCTTATGAAAGTGAAATTTTACCATCTTTATGTTTTCCAAACAGTTGACAATTTCCATAGGTACCTGTAGCTTTTGCTTGTAAATCCTAACTACTCAAAAGACTGAAAGAGGGTCAAGGTTTGAAGTTATCCTGAGCAGAAAAGTTCTATCCAGACTCTATCTTCAAGTGGTAGAGTCCAGCCAAGCAAGCACAATGCCATGATCAAATAAATTGTTCTTATCATAATGTTATGCAATTTTGGCAAATGTTTCTTGTGCACTCACTGTTTTCCAGAGCCTACTCAACATTGAAAACATTGGATGAAGTGCTAGGAAGAATACAAATATCACTTAGATGTAATTCTGCCTTCAGTAACTAACTGGTGGGTTATTATGGCTCCGGACTTCCTCCAAAGGTTCTGAGAAAGTGCAGAGTTGAAAACAATTTTTTAACTATAACAGGACATTTTTGTGAGGATAGGAAGAAAAAATTTTAATTCACAGCAAATATAAAAATTAATACACAATGAAGGAGAGAACCAGTTGTAAAAATGTATGGACTAGAAATGATTCATATGAAAATAACATACATTAAGACAAAAAAGTAAAAACTGAAAAAAATGAAAGTATGGTAAGTAATTCAAATAATAAGACTTAGGGGGAAAGAGGCCCTTAGTTTGTTTTTCGATGGTCTTTGGATGAGTTACAGTTCATCACTGTAAACCATGGGTAGGGAGCAGAGAGGATGTGAGTTGAGGGAAGATCTGGATGAATTTCAGAGCATCCAGGCAAGAAATGTCCAGCAACTCATGGCCTTCACAGCACTATCAGAGAGGATAGGCACGGGGCACACAAAGGATGACAAACACAGAAGTGAGGTAAGCAGTCAGGAGACTGCATACATTCTGACAGAACAAGTGTTATAGAAAAGATACTCACCACCAGGCAGTGTTGGCTCATACCTGTAATCCTAGCTACTCAGAAGGCAAAGATCTGAAGATCGAAGCCAGCCTAGGCAAGAAAGTCCAGGGGACTATTAGCTCCAAGTAACCACCAAAAAGGAAAAAAAGCCAGAAGTGACATAAGTTCCAGCCCTAGGAACAACACAAGCAAGTATATATACATACGTACATACATACATATGTGTGTATGTATGTGTGTATGCATGTGTATGTATGTATTCATGGATGCAAGAGGCTTGGCAGCAGAAGGTAGTGCCAAGGAAGAAAACTGGTAAGCCATAAGACAGAGTATTAGAACTCATTGATGGATGGTGGTTCAGAGAAGAGCTATGTACTTTGAGATGCTGGAATGCTCATCAAAGAAACTCGACAGACGTGAAAGAAGAAGACCAAGATAAGAGCCAAAATTAACAGCCTGGTAAGATGGAAAGAGGGAAGATTCTAGATTGAAGACAAGCGAGCTCAGGTTACACAAGCATTCAGAGAACAAGATTGAACTCAACAGTCATGGCTGGACCATCTCCAGTGCCCATTCACATGTGCACGCCTGGAAGAAGATGGAGAGCCTGAGAACCAGCTTGTGAAATGCTGGGCAGGGCAGATGGTGGCTGACCTAGCTTGAGTTTCCTTAGAAACAGACCTTGAGGCAAAGGTGTGGGTATAAGTCAATTATTTGGGTGATGATTCCAAGATCTATTAGGAAAGCAATGTAGAAATGACCTACTCCTATTTGTATTGGTTGACTAATACTGCACAGACTATTGACTCCTCACAACTGTGCATTGCCTTGTGTACAGGTGAAATACATTTCCTTCACTGAAGATCTCACACAGGAAATGTCATATGTTTGAAGCCAAAATCTTCAACAGGAATGGCAAATGCTAAAGTAACACAGGTGGAACCCTCATAATCCCCCCAACAGTACATCTGTCACACTGCCCAAATCTACACAGGTCTCATCTCAGGGGTATGATTAGGGTCTCTGATTTTTTTCACAGTCACTTTCTGATAATAAAAGGTTTTACACAATTCAGAACAGAATTTAATTATCATGAATTCCCATCTCTAGTACTAAAATGGATTCCAGACTGTGGTTTATGTTCCTTATTTCCCTCTTTAACCATCACTCTTAACATATCCTTGTCAGGCTATGATTGAAACAATCTCCCATTCATGGTTATTACAGCCCACAGAAGTAACTTGGGGTTGCCCCGGTAAGCAGTATGGTCCTTCGGCCTTTGGCCACCGCATCAGGCAGCAGCAGCTTTATCTGCTCATGATTATTATAAAGGCTCACTAGTCCTGCCAGGATAATTTCCTTCGCTGGCTGCTGTCCTATTGGAATGAAAGCAAAACATTATCAGCAGTAGCTTTAAGTTTCATAGTACTCATTCTATCCCCTTCAGAAATTTGCTCTCTCATACTTAAAACCAGAGCCTCTGCACAAATGGAAGCTTCAAAAACAGAAAGCATGAATTTCCCATTGATAATTATGGGTGAAGGGAACAAAAACAACCAACTTCCTTCCCTTGGTTCCCGAAGCAAGATAACCCTATAGGTGTCAAGAACAGGGAAGGATATTGTATAATTGTAATCTGTTCAAAACCCAAGCCAGAACAGAACCATCTCCCAAGTAACTCCTTAGCTGCACACTGAGAAGGCAACTAGGGAATGCCAACAGGGTACAACCGATTTGTCCATGATCACATATGTATGCTTCTAAACCCAGAATTTCAGACTCCAGGCCCAAACTCCTCTGATTCCATGTCAGGTCCAGCCAGTATGTGGCATGGGCAACTACAGGAAGACAACACTTGGGTCCATCTTCAGCCCAGACATGAGCTTTAGCTTTAAATAGACAAAGAATCAGGGCAGGCAGGTAAAAGGTACAGATAATTAAATACTCTCAATCGCAAATGGGGCCTGGTTGTCCATTATCTTGATCTTTGTTTGGGGAAGGGTTCACAGAAGGCTTTATCTCTGCTCTGTGGGTTTTCTGATGTTCCTTTCCTTTGAGACAGTTTCTTCCACCTATCTTTGTGAAGATGCTGTCAATAAGTCCTGTTCTTCCTGGATTTCAAGGTGACTATCGGATTCGTGGTGTAGACAAAGATAGATGCAAGGTGGAGACAGGGGCACCAAGCTTTTTGCTAATTTATAAGCCCAAGTAAGAAGTTAGAGTTTCACTGGGCGACAGTGGCTTATTTCTGTAATCCCAGCTATTCAGGAGACTGACATCTAAGGATTGTAGTTTAAAACTAGCTCAGGCAGGAAAGTCTGTGAGATGCTTATCTCCAATTAACCACCAAGAACATAGCTAGAAATGCAGCTGTGGCTCAAGTGGTAGAGTGACAACCTTGAGCACAAAAGCTCAGGGACAGCACCCAGGCCCTATGTTCAAGATCCAAGACTGGCCCAAAAGAGTGATGCTGGTGCCAGTGCCAGGCCCCCAAAGAGTTAAATAAACCTCTTTTCTGTATAAAGTTATCCTGCCCCAGGTATCCCATGATAGTAATGAAAAACAGTCTAATCCTTGTCTAGTACATGCCCGGCATGTATCTCATTTTTTGCAAAACATTTGTTCATAATATAAGTTAAACATATACTTTTTAGTCCTCCCTTGCCTGACTGTGGCAGATCTTGCACAGAGCCAAAGAAGTGAGCTGAGAGAGAGAAGTGTCACTACAGCAAAACTTGTCATGTCAGAATCTGAGCTACATGTTCACAACACTTATTTGAGCCCCTGGAACTGTTTTGGTATGATCCACAAACACCGTTTCCATTGTGATGTAATGGAGGGGGTGACTCTGTTCTCCCAAACACAGGGCTGGAGGGACACTCCCAGTGACCTGAGCTGTTAATGACTAATTTCTGGCCCTTTGTTCTCTACCAAAGTCTAGTTACTTTTCAGCTCTGCTGAGAAGGAAAAGTACCCAGCTGAAACAAGGCTGACATGGTGCCTAGAAGAAACACAATACACAGAGAACATTGCACATAGAAAAGATCTACAGATTCTGCCGGTCACCTTGCGTTAAGGTTCATCTTTATGTCCTAGGATGCATGAAGCCTCAAGTGTGTCACTGCCTCATCTAACACCTCTAGAAATCAACCAAAGCTCCACAAGCCATCAGAAACACCACAGGGAAAAGAGCCACTGAGAGTCACCAAACTTGCCATTTTATTGTGCTTCTCACTAAATTGAAACGGTAATTAAAGCTTCCAGATGCTGCTCTTCCAGGGGAACCCTAAAGCAGAAAATACAAAATTACTTTAATTTCCTTGAGGTGATTAAAGTTGGAAGTAATGGGCTCTCCATCAATCCAGCCTCCTTTTTGAAGGAAGCATAAACACCAACTTGATTGTGCTTGCAAGAATATTGATCTGCTGAGCTGTGTGTGTTTGAATAACTGTAGGCAACATTATAAATCTAATCTACATTCAGATTCTTAGTGATGTGCCCCCAAGCTTTCCTGTGCAGCCCACAATAACATATCTACCTTCCTAGTCTGTTTTGCCAGTCTGGAAAGCTTCTCATCTGGATGCACACACAGCAACAAAATTGTAAAAGGGATCTCTGAGACAGAAAGCCTTATGGTATCTGTAATAGTTACAAGAGATTGAGAGGGTCACTTTTGCAGTGGCTGCCGCTAATAATGTAAACACCCCTATATGTGCCATATCCAATGTAGAAGTCAGAAAGAACTAAGATGTGGTGGCCTCTTTATTGGCAACGATATAGCAGTCACACAAGGTGTGCTCTGGGAAGGGTTTAGGGTATTAAGGTTCAGCCTAAGTACTAACAACAAATAAAATTAATAGGTTGGTTACTTTTGAGAGGAGGGATATATTTTTTTGTTCCGGTCCTGGAGCTTGATCTGTCCCTGAGCTTTTATGCTCAAAGCTAGCTCTCTACTACTTGAGTCACAGCTCCACTTCTGGCTTTTTGATGATTACAGATGAGAATTTTATGAACTTTCCTGAACAGGCTGCTCTGAACCATACTCCTCAGATCTCAGCCTCCTGCATAGCTAAAATTACAGGCATAAGCCACGAGCACACAGCTAAATTTAACATTTTAATTAAAAATCTGCAAGAATTAAAATTAGCTGTAAAACTTATTTTATTTTTAAATTTGTTTTTTATTATCTTTATTTTTATTTTATTTTTATTGTCAAGTTGGCATACAGAGGGGTTACAGTTACATAAGTAAGGTAGTGAGTACATTTCTTGTCTAACTTGTTACCCCCTCCCTCATTTTCTCCCTCCTTGCTTCCCCTCAAACCTCCCCCACAAGTTCTACAGATCATTTCCATGTCAGTATTGCTGTTGCTTTGGTTCCCCCTCACCATTTTATTGTTCTCCTTCCCTTCTCTAATTCAAATAAACATACATACAATACCCAGGGTACCAAAATCAAATAAAGTGACAACAGGGGATAAACCATACGGGGGGGGGGGGGGAAACACAAGGTAAAAAAGAAATCACAGAGTACATTGATATTAACAACAACTAAGAAAAACCTCTGTGTCCATGTCTTGGAGCTCATTTCGCTTAGCATCATCTTATATGGGCATATTTACGGTGCTGTTGAACTATTCTGCTCATCTGCTAAAATTATTCTAGATGTATACTAATTATTAAGGGAATACTGATATGTATTAGTATATTAATACATATACTAATGATAAGGGAAACAAATTCTCTCTCTCTCTCTCAAAGGTATATCAGAGCCATTGCCCAGTGAAGATTTCCTGGGAGAAATAAGAGAGGTTATTCACTTGTTCATCCCAGTGCTAGTAGAAGAATGTTTGGTGATCCGTCATCCTGCATCCAACACTGGAAGTCTTGGCTTTTCATCCTGTAATTTTCTAATGCTGAGATGGTGAGCTCTCCTCCTCACCCTAAGGCTAGACTGAATCCTGACCAAATTAGATTCAGATTAAAGTTATAACAGAAAGTGAGTGATGACAATGGTGTATTTATATTTCAGGTTAAATTACACTTACAAATTTCTACTGAAGCAATATTAATATGCCTGTTGGAGGTTATTTTGGGAAGTTTCAGGCAAAGAATAAAATATAATCTAAAAAATGTTGCATGTGCTGGGTTATGGGGCTCACACCTATAATCATAGCCATTCAAGAAGATAAGATCTGAGGATCAGGAAAGTACATGAGAATTTTATCTCCAATGAACCAGCAAAAAGCTGGAAGTGTAGACATAGCTCAAATGGTAGAGCTCTAGCCAAGAGTCAGAAAAGCTCAAGATTGAATCAATCATTCATTGTACTCAAACTGACAAGTTGAATTGAAACTCCTTTGTCCAACTACTTAAGGATAATAAAAATTAACATAATTAAATAAACATAAAATAAAAACTCAAGCAAAAGCATAAAGTCCTGATTAACTGCTACAGTACCAGCACAGCTTTTTTTTTTTAAGACCGTTTAAAAGTTCCATTGACTACCTACTTCAATACTTTGAGGCAAACCCCTCATTTTTCTGGCTTAGATTCAGGATGTATTTGTTCTGTTTCAATTTAAGGAACTGAAAGGATGATTCTTAGAGCTAGAAAGAAATTGCATTCCTGGATTTTCTGCTTTTTTTTCCTTTCTGGCTGACTTCACTCACTATGGCTAGCTAATGAAACATTTCAGTGAATATTTACACCCTCCACAAACTGATTAGCTTCTTCAAAGTGGAATCCCCGGGGCCATGGTCAGTTCAGGAACTGTTCATTGTCAGGATGAAAACAAAGGTTCCTGTATAAGTCTGCCTCCAGCCCTGTCATCCTCAATTTCAATTGTCCTTGGGATGGAATAAATGCACAAACCATAACAGGAGGGGAAAAGCAGAACAGTTTAATAAGAAGCCCAGACTTGGAGATAGCAAGCAACATAACTGTGGAAGAAGGGACATTTTCTCAACCCTTTTTGAGATTACTGACACTTAAAGTCCATAAGCATCTTGATCAAATATGGTCCATACATCACAATCAAAGATATAAAAAACGGTGTTGTCTATTTTTTTGCATTTGAGATACAAGCATCACAACCTTTCCTGCTAGTAAAATATTTTTGCAGCTTGTATTTTCAAATTACCTGACACTGTGATTGCCCTTTTTCCTTGAGAAAGTAATCAACTGTTTCAACACATTCTAACTTGATGAGTGGATATACTTCCTTCTACTCAAGGTTGAAATAAGACAAACAAACCTGTGAAAGCAGTGAAGATGAAATTTGCTCAGCCTCCAGGAAATTGTTCTTAGTTTTCTGATTTAACTCAATTGAGTACAGCCAAAAGAGACACTAAATTCAGGAAACACAGAAGCCATAAGGATAACCTCTATGTCCATCAATTGACCCAATATCATGAATATTTCTTTGTTTATTTATTTGTTTGGTTGAGCCACAGTTCCATTTCAAGCTTTTTTATAGTTGATTGAAGATAACAGTTTCATAGACTTTCCTGCCAGCAGATAGCTTCAAACCATGATCCTCAGATCCTCCTGAGTAACTAGAACTACAGGCATGAGGCACCTACATCCAGTTTCTTTTTTGTTTTGTTTTGTTTTTTTGGGTCCGGTCGTGGGGCCTGAACTCGGGGCCTGGCCACTGCCCCTCAGCTCTTCAACTCAAGGCTAGTGCTCTACCACTTGAGCCACAGCGCCACTTCCGGCTTTTTTCTTTTTGCTTATGTGGTGCTGAGGAATCGAACACAGGGCCCCTGGCATGCAAGGCATGTGCTCTACCACTGAGCTACCTTCCCAGCCCCTGCATCCAGTTTCATGCATAGTTATTATGCCATCTTCAAATATAGGTTTTTAGAAATATCATCTGTGTACTGATGTGTTTGCAGAAACCTTCCTGGAGGAAGAAATCTGACCTGAGACTGAAGAGATTACAACAAATTTTATACTTAGAAAAGAATACCACAGCACTGACCCCTATCTTTCCTTGCCCCAACTCCATCATCAGGTTTGATGTGAAACACTGATTAACTAAATACTGCCCTTCTCCTTTTGTATCTAATCTATTCTTTAGGGCACCCGATTAAATGGTTACCACATTAATGCCCTAGGGGAATAGATTCATTTTCTCTACCTATTAAAGAATTAAGAGGCAAAAAAGTGTTATAAGGTAAATAGAGTAAGTTTATTTGAAAGTGA